GCACCGTGGGCCTGCGCGCACCGGCCCATCTCGCGCGCTCAGGCGCATGCGCAGCGCGCTCTGCTGGGGAGGGGGGGAGGTACCGCCCCCCCGCCCTTCAGCGCCCCCTCGCGGAGAGCGCGCCATTTAAGGTGGGGTTTCGCCTCCCGCGGCCAGAACTCGGGTCCGCCTCGGCTGCGGGCAATGCGCTGTCCAGGGGTTCTGCCCGCGTGGGCCCTGGTCCGAGCTGGTGCTTTATCCCGGGACAACTCGGGCTGATTAGAGTGAATCGCCATTCCAGCTGCCAGTGTGCGGTACACCGCTGGCTCCCGACAATCCGGCCCATCCCCAAGCCACTTCTCCGGGCCCCAGAGCTTCTAGGGCTGCAGGATCCCAGGAGAAAGCCTTTGCCTTGGGATAGATGGGCTGTCAGTTTTTGGCCTAGAAACCCAAATGGCTCCCCTCTCCTGCCAGCTATGCCAAGGATGCTGCTCTCCGCAGAACGCACCCCGGAGGCGGTCGCGAGTCAGGTGGTAAGGCCACCTCACGAGTTCCTTCAGGGCACAGGCCAGTGGTTACGGAAGCCAGACAACAAACAGCAGCTAATCTCCCCCGGCCCCAAGAGCATTCAGACTCTTCCTCTGGAGCAGACAGCCACCTGTACACCTGTACTAATAATCGGTTTGTTTTCCTAGTAAATAAAAAAACTTGCCCAGAGCCACGGATTCAGACACCCGAGTGCAGTGCTGGTTTGCAGCAGGGGGACAGCCCTGTAGGCTCCCTTAGTCCACCTGGCAAGAGACCGATGGCAGTAGTGCAGAGGGGACCTCTGGTTGGCTAACCTGGACTGCCCATGGTCAGCCTACAGTATTAGCATTTACAGCCACTCTTCCGGAAGTGATTTAACCTTGGCTGTTTTCAGGTTATTTTTCTCCAGGAGTGGCCATTTCTACTCTGGGAGAAAAACCTGAACATCTGTATACTCAGTTTCTCCTGGGAGAGCAGCGACTTTTTCCAGGCAAAACAATGTCCCTACGAGGGCAGTGAGCTTCTCTCCAGCAAAGAGGAAGGGCACAGGTTTCCCCATTCCACTTCCAGTGAATTGTGCCTTCTGAGATGGGCAAATATAATCTGCACCGCAGCAAGTAGAAGAAGCCCTCAAGTTCATTCTCAAGAGGAAACCTCTTTCTCAGTATCTATGAACATGTGTTTTTTCGTTTTAAGTTAAAAATCTTTCAGTAAACTTTGTAAATTTGGGTAAAAATTTGGCTGCTTTGCCGTTCACCTCCAAAAAGCCTTTGCAAGGAAAGGAAGTTTATAGTAAAGAGACAGGGTTAAAGAGCACTGCTAGTTATGCATCCAATATATATGCAGCAACATGCGACTGGTGTTAAATGCTGAAAGGTACTGAGGGGTTTGGGTTGTAGCCGTGTTGGTCTAAGCACATAGGCAGACAAGGTTCCTTGGGTGAATTTGATATCTTTTATTAGACCAACCCAAATGGTTGGAGAATAGTTATTAAGCAAGCTTTCGGGTTCAAAAACCCTTCGTCAGGCTAAGGAAGCTTCAGCAGTTGGTGTGTGCTCTTCCTGGGTGGAATGAAAAGGTACTGATACTTTTTATGAAAAAAACCCAGATTAAAAAAAAAATCCTAACTTTAATATATAGGTGATCGTGTGGTGAAAGAAGACATAGGAGCCAGAAGAGCTGGGCTGCACTCTATCTTGGTTTACTTAACTGTAAAATCCTCATCCACAAAGTGTTTTGAGATTTCCAAAAGAAACATCATGAATACAAAATATAGCAGGGTAGATGAAGCAATTTTCCCTTCTCCAGATTAAATCACCTTTGAGATTTTATTATTTGGACTAATGAATCAGCCTTCTAAGCACTAAAAGGCAGATTTATTCTAACTCTTCCAGTTGCTATACATTAAGTTCAGATGTTTTACAATGATCATTTCTTCAACATGAGATGTCCTGTAGTTCTAAAAATAGTTCTAAGAGAACCTCTTACTTCAGCAGCATAATATGGGAACGCAGAACCTCAAATTATTTAGCAATAAATTTATAAGGTGCACTTGTAGTTCATTGCAGTCTCCCATTAAGCTGTGGAGAGCATGTTCATATTTAATAAAAATTTCCATATTTGGCATTTTGGTAGAAAGTACATATGCTGCTGCTATGTTTGAAAACAGGGTTTTCGCTTTTTTTTTTTTCCCAAATAATCTTAAAATTTCTTTAAAGTGGACAAATTGGAAGCTTATAGAATATTTTTCTAGGCACTTTGATTGTCTTGGCTCAGTCGAGTAGCAAACTCCACTAATGTGCGTGTTGGTCGTCCAGCCATGCCCTTTCGAAGATAAGGAACCTCATCTTTATTAGACATCACACCAGCTATATCTAAATGAGCCCAGTGAGAAACGGTTACAAATTCTTTCAGGAATGCAGCAGCTGTACATGCACCTCCAGCTCTGTTGGGGAAGAGGAGAAGAATCAACATCAGTGGATTTTTTTAAAAACCTTTATTTGCATTCAAGCCAATAACAATATGCACTAAGAGCCATCTTGTACTTAAACTTCAATTTTGCAATAAGTTGTAGTCAGTACAGATCCCATGGATGGGTTGTGGAATCCACACAGGCAACATCTTGAAGAACCAGTTGCTGCATGGCAAGTAACAGTTTTATGTTTTTCATATATGTGTCAGTGTAGATCTTACTAGCAAGCAATCTTCCTTCTGAATACTCAGAATGAGGAGCTTGAAAGCTCTCCCTCTCTTGAGATCTCCAGCTGGGATCTCCACATTGCCAGATGTCTTGGCATGTAGGTTTGAATGCCCTTTCTTTTTGAGTGTGCCACCACTACCACCACTCATTTCATGAATACTCTTAATGCCACGGGGATTGACAACACCCTGAACTGCTACTGTTTGATCCCTCTGTGAAGCTCTGGTATATGCTGTGGACCAGCTTGAAGAAATGAATTCAGGACCATGTGGTTTCAGGCCTAAGGTATAAGTATCCCCTTTCTTTTTCAGGACAATGAAATACTTAAAAGAGAAGCCTCTGTCTTAACCTGAGCTCTTTTTCCTGGATTGGGGAAGATTTTGGTCCCTAGAAGCAAGAAGGCAGACTCCAATAATTTCAACAAGGAATCTGCTCAAAGAAGGAAAGTATGTGCTGTGTTTACGGAGAAAGAAAATTCCTCCGGGGGTGGTACCAAAGTATATACCATTCTTAGCACTTATAACTGTCTCCATACTAAAAGCATACTAGATTTTACTAGGGAAATAACTGTCAGTATCAATAACTTGGACGTACTGAAACCAGTGACTCAGTGCTGCAATACCAGGGGTTCCAGGTTATTAGCCTTCCATTACATATGGGATTAGTGACTCTCTTCCCATATACCGTGTATAGTCTTTATGTGGAAAAATCATGGCTTGTGTCTGGAATTTTTGTCCTTTTCTACCAGACAGCCTCTACCACACAGCTGAGTTTCAGTGCCAGAGATGCTGGCACTTGCTTTGACACAAATGGTATAAACTTCAGTGCTGATGATGGCTACAGTGCCAGTGGTATGGATTTTGGAATCAACTCTTTGTTTGGTGACCGTGTTGGGCATCACACCTCTGATGGACAGTGATTGCATGTGCAGTTTTACTCAATATCTATGATACCTCAGACATTCATTGGCTGTTTCAGCAAATGAAAATTTTGTATTGCTTCTTTATTTTATGTAGCCCCAGTAATGGATCAAGAGCTTCACTTGGTTAGGAACCACGAATACAAAATGAAACTATAGTCCCTGTCCTTAGGAGTTTACAACTACTCTAATCCCACCTTTTGAATCTTCAAAAAAAACCCCAACTTGCACCTTTGATATATGTCTCTCACCTAGGCAGAAGGGGCATCTGCTATGCTCATCTTTTAATAAAGTTAACTTGTCCCATGAAAGGCATGGTTTGAAGTCTGGCTCACCATGCACTAGGACACTCTCAGACAGTTCATTTACTGTTACATATTATGAAGGAAGTGGAAAGAGTTCTAAAGGTTTTGTGAAGGATTCATAACAGATTTATCCAGAGCTGATAAGTAGCAAGTCTAACACCATGGTAGATTCCATCTCACAGCCAAAGGTGGTAAGAGAGAACTGAAAGACAATGACAGCTGTCTCAGCCTTTATGGACTCATATAGGAGCATGAGGAGTCACGGGGTACCACAGGATTCATACAAGTACTGTTCAACAGACACTGCTACCCAAAAGACTTGCACAGACGAGATACATGCAAACTTAAAATGGAATTCATGCCAATACACAGATGAAGAAAAGCATAAAAAGAGTCAATCTTTAGCAGTTACATAGAGCCCAATATTTGTTTACAGGGTATTCTAGTACATTTAAATATATACAGACTGTTCTGTTTACCAGCTTCCCACTATACCCAGCTGCACCATTTTAGGATTTTGGCGCAGCTGAGAGCAGTTGATCTGCTCTCAACCCCCTTTGCAGAAAAGCATTGCCCCTAGCTACAAAGCAGATTTTTTGTATTCCTCTGCCAAGTGGAAAGAATACACCTGTAACACACAGTGAAGGGAGGCTCACTCTGTGGACGAAGGCCTTAGCACTATCTGACCCAAGACTATAGAATGAAAGCTGGAGTCCAAAAGTTAAGTAAAAATAGTGAAATCCCAAGTTCTTTTAAAAAAAAAAATCTATCTGTGCTAATTTGTGTTATTACTATTTACTTATATACTTTGAACTTGCAAAGAAAAGAACTGTTGCATTTCAGTTAAGTACCTGCTATATTTTCCAACGTTACTCAGGTCTGCAAGTGGGCAGTCTGTAACTTGTTTTGTGTAGTGTTCAAAGAGAGGCATTCTCCAAACACGGTCTCCTGTCAAAATACTGGCCTGTGAAAAGAAACAATTCTTACACTTGGGACAAATATATCTGGGGAATTCTTTTTTAATTTAATCTGACTGTACAAGCACTA